CTGCGTACCGGCATACCAGAATCCATCAGTTTTTTATATGAAGATATTGACCACCAAGGGATTCCAAACCAACCAGAAACTTGATGCTGCCCTGGCGTATGCAGACTGGCTTGATCATAAGGGATTAAAGGATACCGCTGGGGAAGTCTACTGCTGGGCTATGGATATCGCCGTTGAAGGTCTCGGTGTCGACCCCCGGAAAGTTGTGGACATCAAGTCCGGCATCATAAAGGAGAGTGGAACCAAATACGTGACTGAGAATTTACTTCGAACCTCCAAGGCAATGGGAGTTCACCAAGTACGCGTGGGTGATTTATCATCAGCTCTGGCCGTTTTCCTCTCTGTGCTCAAATGCCGGCGAAGTGTGACGGCATCTGAAGACTCACTCCCGAAGGTCATCAACCCAAAGCCGAATAAAGTAAAGACGAAAAAGGATGATATCCTGACCGCTATCACCTCGTTTATCTCCCCACCTCAATACCCCATTCCAATCCGGACAGGAAACGAGCCTCCCGTGCGTTCCCAGTCAACTGCTTGTGAAGAGGCAGGCTTGATGTTATACATCGGTGAGATTATCTACGCCTCTTCATCCCGGGAAGCTGGCCTATCATGGACCCGGGACGCTGTTGATCAGGCCGAGATCGCCCTTCTTCAGTTCGACGAGAAACAAGATCAAAAACAGCTAGCAGCATCACCGAGTCACGGAATGCAGTATCAATCTACAGAAGAGCAGTGCCAACACTGCCTCCGATCCGGCCTGAAGAACTGGAGGCAAATGATTCGCTCCCTCGTGGTCAAGGCTGAGAAGGAAGAGCTCCAAACCATGGACGAAGTGAACGACTACTGGTTCGGCCGTGGACCGAGAAAAGTGGCTGAAAAGCAAGCACAGCGTCGTCGATGGGAGGCGGAGGAGATGATACTGGATGATCGTGCAAAGAGAATCCAGCGTCTTATTGGGGACGATGGGCTTTCTGCTCTCACTTCTAGTGAGAGAATGTTCTTCGGTTGAACATGGAAATAAACGCGTGCATGCATGGTTGGCTTCTGTATGATATCATATCCTTTCTCGGAACAGTTTGGCGTTTTTTTGGATGTATATACATACATATGAATGATCTTCTACATACTTAGTTATTATCTAATGTTTGACGCACATACCTGTCAGGATTGTTCACACTGCTCCAGGGGTGTCTGTTACCCAAATCAGGGAAAGATACAGCGAGATGTTCCTTGTCATGACTCGGTCGGGATGGAATCAAGATCCCACAACCCCCTGTCGTTGCTGACTCGTATATATTTAGTTACGGGCGACAGGGTACGGGCACAGACGGAGATGAACATCACCGAGCACAAAAGGGATCTCATCTTTTGCAAGATGCTTAAGATGAACCACCCCCTGATGCACCAGCCGGGAAAGAGATATGTATCAAACCATCAGGAGACTTGTGGCAGTATACGAGCAATTCCTTGACAATGCCAAAGCCTGCAAGGCTTCATCCCGGGGAATTTTCACATATGAAACGGACAAGAAATGGTGAAATGATGAGTCGTTAAATTAATATATGAAGGAGTTGTACTTATGTATATGCATCTATACGGCGCAGTGGCTATATACATTTGGTATGATAGAGCATTATATGCAAGAAGCATAGAGAGAAGACCGTAAACAAAGAAACCAAAAGTGAAAAGGAGGGGGTAGTCGATATCTAGAGCGTAAACAAGAGCAAGGAGATATATGTATAAAAGAATTATGAGCAGTAAAAGGGGCATATTGACAAAGAAGTAAATCGTGTCAAGAGAGATATACCGAAGGGATTTTTTTTGGTATCTTTGGTCAGACAAGAGACGAACCGATATAAGGAATATATGAAAAAAAGGACGAAAAAACCAGAACCCAGCCCGCAAGTTCTTGAAATGCAGGCTATATGATGCAAAAAAATAGGAAAAGGGAAAAGCACAGCCATTACCTCGAAGGGCCGTCCGTTTTATGAATCGTCACCACTCTCACTCTTACCGCCAACAACAACTCCTTGGGCTCCTTTCTCGAAGAAGGTAATGGAAAGAGTGTCAAAGCTCAGAATGAATGTATCAGTGCCATATTCAAGTTGTACCGGCCTGAAAGTGGGAAGGCCGTTCTCAAGCCCAGATGGTCGTCTGAGAGCATCCTGGATAGCGTTGTGAGCTGCATCCGCTGCGCTAAACAGCTCGGTCTTCTCAAAGATGTAAAGGACTGCTATCCGAGCGAAGTCTAGCACGTTCTGGGATGGGTCGACCATCGTCGGCGGAGGGGTGGGAGTAGAGGTCATTGAACTTGAGCTTGAAGTACTAGTAGAAGTAGGAGAGGAGGTCGAGGAAGACGATGAGCGGCGTGTAGTAGTTGCAGTTTGAGTAGGAGAGGATGTCCTGGTAGTGGTAGGCGATGGTGTCCTGGTCGGCCTGCGAGTAGGTGTTGTATGTATCGTAAAAGTCGTGGTTGGTATAAGATCCTGGGGGGCTCTGCCGGCTACATTGCCTTTTGCGGCACGGCGACGACCTGGCAATGCATATTCAAGCATGGTTGCCTTGTTGGCAGGATCCTTGGGCATGGGCAGTCCTCTCCTTTGGCTTCTGCTATTGAAGGTAATCAAGGCATTTTCATTGGTACAAGAAACATCCTCAGTTTCAAAAAGGTGTATGATCTTTGTAATATCAAGCGGTATTTCGAAGCTTGAGAGCGAGTTCTGGAGGATTCTTGGAATTGCGCTGCCGACAGTGGCATCATTGCGGAGATTGCGGTTATCCTTCAGCTCGGCGATAACGCAGTCCCGGTCAGTCAGGACGCCGCAGGTGTGGCCTCTGTAACCCTCGGGGCAGACACAGCTGCAGGTGCCTGGAGTTCCGATGCTCATGCCTCCGTTCTTGCAAGGGGCCTGGAGTTCACAGCTGTTCTCGGGTGTAGGCGAATGGTTACGTGGTTTCCCAGCAACAGCGAGTGGAATGGTGATTATAGCAGCAAACAAGAGAACCAGTCCGATGCAGAAGACAATCAGAGCTGGCGCAGCCAAGCCACAGAACCGGCGTCTGGTCCGAGGAACGTCGACCTCGTTATTCTTGCCCTTGGAGTCATCACCAGGATGAGCAGAGTTGGTACGGGGAGTCTGGATGCCAGGTGGAGGGAATGAAGCCAGGATATCGGTGATCGAACCAGAATATCCACGGTCCTTGTTCTTAGCATCATTTGCGTTCGTCATTTCAAAGATGCCTGCTGGGCCCTTGCTGGCTGTCTTTCCACGGTCGAGGTTCGATGCCAACTTGGTGGCCCTGCGGATTAGATCTGGCAAGCTGGTCAAACTGCTTCTGACCTCCGGCTCTTTCCCTTCGATGTTCAGCGCGGGAGGAGGTGCCAGGTCGCTAAACTGTGAAACCCTGCGGCCAGCCGAGCGTGAGCCACCTAGCTCAATGTCTCTGAACTCAGAGTCATTAGTAGGCTGCTTGTGTATTATGGGCACTTCATCGCCTTCTGGTTCCTCTTGATCATCAATCGACTCGACAGAGGAGTGAGAGTTTGCGCGCAGCCGGCTTGGACGCAGCTGGCCGCTAGGGTTGTGGAACGATGGCGGGATGTGGTGGTCAGGGATATTTGCACGCAGCGATGGGTTGATGGCTATGCCGATTGTGCCACTTGAGGTAACACTGCCGACTTCCGATGGAACACCAACAGACCTTTCGCTTATGGTGCGGTTGTGCATCGACGGCGGATCATTTTTGGTGATGTTGATCGTCCGCAGCTCGCCTTTGCCTGTCTTCCCGAGGCTGATCTGTCTCGCAAGGCTGGAGCTAGGTCTCGGCCCAGTTGGCAGCTCGACGCTGCCTTTGTTTCTGGTACGAAGAGCAGACTTAGCCTTGAGAGCCTGCGCCATCTCGTCTTCGTTGTAAGCTGACGACCCGCCATCTGTACCATGGACTGTTTCAGGCATCTCTTCGTACTTGAGATCGACAGTTTCATACGGGGCTGAACCCCAACTGGATGGAATCACTTTGCTTGACGCGAAGGATTTGACGTTTCTCTGCACAGGTGATGGGAACTCTTCTGGAATTGGCGAGACAGTCGATCCAATTGGGTAGAAATTCCCTTGCGGGTCACGACGGCTTCCCTGGGATGGGTTGGAGTTGGAGCGTCGCGCAGGAGCTGGATGAGCAAGGAGCTGGCCATGGTGAGACCTGTCGTTGGAAGGAACTGGTAGAGCTGTGGTGTTGTAGTCTGAGCCATGGGAATACGATGGCTGCTGGGGCGAGGAAGTAGCACCGTGGTATGGGTTCGATGGAGGATAACGTCTGCCTCGCGAGTCGTTGAGAAAGGTATCGACAGCGCTAGGCTGGCGGGCAGCCCGCTGCAAGGCCGCCTGCGCTTGTGCTTGTGCCTCTGCCATTTCCTTAGCGTAGGGATTGGTATTCCGGCGCGGCCGGGTCATGGCTGCAGGATCCTGTACAACAGAGCGTTTGGCTCCATGGCTCTGTTGACCGCCAGTAGTAACAGGCGGAGGCCGCCTCCCGTTGCTCGAGTGACTTCGCCCCGTCATCTCATGCTCTTCATCCATCTGCTGCTGGCGGGCCTTTTCTCTGGCTCGACGGACGGAGCCTTTGCTGTCAGCATCGTTAGCTCGGTTGTCATCAGCCATGGTCAATTATTAGACCGCTGGCTATGGGTCAGCACAGCAATATACCGGGAGGGTTTCCTGTCCGTGGATAGAAAACAACGAAATAAAAGTCGGTCACGTCTTTAGATCGTAGTTATTTTTTTTATTGGAGCGGTGGGGGGTTATTGGATACCGGCCACAGGCCAGACAAACTATACCCTAGTCCCCAATGGAGAGGTAAGCAAAGTAATAATAAAACGCTGGATAGCGGCCGGGATACCAGCAAGATTGGCCCAGTGGTGAAGGAGCAAAGGAATAGGATTGCGAGTTGCCCTGCCAGCGCGAGTAGGGGAGCCAGTCAAAGCAATTCAACCACAGGTTGATATGCGCGAACAAACACGCAGTCCCGAATCTCCGGAGGAGCCGCTGGCCCGTAACTGGAGAAGAGAGAGAAAGAAAGCTGAGCAGGTGAAGAAAAAAAAGAGGAGAAAGAGAATTCTACCTCAAGCAGAGGACGAGGTGGTTAAGAAGAAGGAGGAAGGGAGAAAGAGAAGAGAGAAGAAGAACTCTTCTGAAGCAAGCGGTCGGTTTGAAGGGGAAAATGATTGACCATGACCATGTTAGCCATGTTAGCCGGCCTTTGCCTGGGGTACCTGGGCAAGTGTCCTAGGGCGTCTCAAGTCCCGTCAGGGCATGGCCTCGATATCATCGAGAGGCCTAATTTGGTTCTGAAACAGCAGCCGACCAGGGCTGAGGAACGGGCAAGGACGGGGGATGCACCGCCGAATTCAACCCTCCCTCGGGCTGCATCCACTCGATCCATCCACCATCCAACCCTCTGCACCCATGTTTAAGCCGCGGCACCACGCGGTAAGGGAGGAGAAGGTGGGTGTAACGAAGTGTTCAAACCCGAAGTCGTCTGTGGATGGAATGAATTGCGAGGATGCAAGATCGAAGCCGGTCCTGTCCTGTGTAAGTTCGGTTCCCGAGCAGCCATGGAAAAAGAGAGCCCAAGGAAAAAGGAATATATATCAAATGGCAAAAATGCAAAAAGAAAGCAGGCAGAAGCAGCAGCAGAAGACGAGGATGAGGACGATCTCCACTGCTTCGATGCCTCAAAGTTTGCTCGAATACGGACCAACGCCGACTCCACCGAAACAAGAATGCATATGTATCTTTCTCTGCAGGCTTCCTGCGTCCAAGGGCAGGCAGTTGGAGGGCTCCGTAGTATCACCCTGTACCGTGCTAGCCGGGGGAGGCTACATAAGTACATAGGTGTGTGTGTGTTTAAATAGCAGCCGTCGAACGCATTTTGCAATCCGATCTGTCGATTCCTCATGAACTGGTCGAACAGCCGGAAGAACGAGACATGAACCATCCATGAACCCTGGCGGCCTCTGGCTCGTCCTGGACCTCCCAAGCTCGGCCTTATATTCTGGCGTGTGTAAGATTATAATCCGGGGGGTCGGGTCGTTGCCAGGTAGACAACGAGGAGCTGCTGCCGTAGCGACGACGTTGGAGAACAGGGCGAGGGAGCCCGGAAAAAGGGGAGCTCCTCAACTCGAATATATTAATGACAAAAAAAAAACCGGAAATACCATCATCTCCGATGTATATTTTTGCTAGACAGTAACAGTAGCAGAGCTGTTACACGTCCCAAGGCCCCAACTATCAGCGCATTATACGCAGCTAAGCTCCCGTTGCCTAGGGAGCTGGATAGTGGATTAAGACACTAAAGGGCCGCCATCACCAGTTCTTTTTTCGTCTCTTCTCCTTTCTTCCTCTCTTTGAGGGACACCTTTTGAGTATATCTTCGATGGCAAACTCGTTCCATTCCTTTTTTCCTTTTCTCTCTTCTTCTTCTTCCTTTTCTTTCTCTTTCTTTGCTGTTTAGACCATCGTTTTTGCCTGCTCTCGTTTTATTATTATTATTGCTGAATCCCCGCGAAACCACCAGAGAACCCATCTCCAAAAACGCCGTACACACGCACCTTCATTCTTCGTTTCCGCTCTCATCATTTGTCTCCAGTCGTTGTTTCTTTTGCATATTTTGCTGGTTGAGAAAAAGCGAGTGTTTTGCTCCGGTAGCAGGCACGCCCCCAAAGGCCTCCCCCCCGGGCCTATCCATCCTCAGTCCAGCGTCCAAAAGAAAAATAATCCTTTTGTTTGATACTTTTTTTTTGCTGTCCTCCATACATAGATACCGTCGTTAAAGCCGTTTCAGAGCCGTTCAGAGAAGCCGTCGGTCAAAAAGAAACTGTTCATCCTTGGGGTCCGGAAGAGTCGGCCTTGGTGGTTTGTTGATATAAACTAAATAAACCGAATGTACAAACCTCCCCTTTATTCTGGGCCATCGAGAATATAGGCTTGGATTGAACCGTTGGACGAAGAAGCACTATCCCATGCCCGAGCCAGCGATCCCGTCGATGTCCAGCAAACTTCAGACGGCTCCGAAGCGTACCCAGTCAACCATGAACGGTTCGCAGGCGGTCCACGGTAAAGGTACATTGTGAACCAAACTTCCCATCCCTTCCTGTCAAACCATGTTCACACGCCGGCTGTTCTTCACGGCCGAGATGGAGCCAACCAGGTCTCTCGTTCGTTGTGTTGTCCATGTGAAAGATATGTATGTATATGCAGCACGCAGCTGACTGGTAGATATATCCACCGAGCAGAGCGCTGGGGGACCTGGTCGCATCCCAAGCGGGCTCGAAAGCAGATCCCCACGTTCGCACAGCGTACGCCGTCCTCGAGCCAGCGCGAGCCAGCATCGTCGGCCCTGAGACGGGTGTTTGAGCCGCCATCCACCGCTACCGCTGCTGCTGCTACTGCCAGCTCGAAGCCGCCGCCCCTCCGCGAGAGCCAGCAGCAACGCCAGAACAAGTCGGCCTCTGCGCCGCGGCCTCGCACTGCCAGAGCTCCCATCCCGCATTTCCGTACCTATAGCCACACGCAGAGCAGCGCGGCGAAGTCGAAGGCGGCCGTGGCCCCGGAGCCAGAGGACGAGGATGCCCTGGCGATAGCGCGCATCCACGCCTGGCTGGACAAGGTCGACGACGAGCAGATTGCGGCCGAGGTAGAGGCAGAGCGACGAGCCAAAGCCCGCCGGGTCTGCGAAGAGCGGCCAGCAGAGCAGCCGACCAGGGAGGCTGCAGCTGAAGCCGTCCAAAGTGCGCCTGGAGCTGGTGATGTTGCGGTTGACGTCGAGGCCGACGTTGAAGTTCCGAGTAAGTCACGACATCACGACATCTACACTACAACTACACTGCATCTACAACACTATATCTCTAAGTACATCCACGTTTATCTGTATAGAATGCTAACAGATGGCTAGAAACTCCCAAGGCTCCCAAGACGCCCAAGACGCCCACGAGAACCCGCCGCCTGGACCTGGATGCCGACGTCCCCCGCGTCGACAGCGGCTGGGGCGCCGCAAGCCCAGCGAGCATCGGCATGGCGTTCATGACGCCGCGGACGATTCCTCGCATCGAAGAAGACGACGCCGTCTGGGAGATGCTCAGCCCGAATGTGACGCCGTTCCGCAAGGGCAGAGGCCCGAAACGCACCCGCCGGCGCAGCTACTACGACGAAGACATCTGGCCGAGTGCCTACAACTCGCCGCGGTCTCTCGCTCAGCCAGTCCATTGAGACTGCTAACCGATATCATCCATCCTGATACTCGCTACTCGCTACTACTTTGATACCTGATACTCGATATCCCTAACACTCTTGCTCCGTTTCTTTTGTTCTGCATACCCGTTTGTTCGGCTCGTTTTTTTGGCATCGTTCTTTATACCAGCACTTGTTGCACTTTTGCATCCATCAAATTCCCCATTCTTTCTTGACCATTTCGTTACTCTTCTGCTTATTTGGCTTGCTATTCTTTTTATTACTCGGTTTTACCCCTTTGCATCAAACATAAAACACTCGCAAGCATTGATTGCTTGACGGTTAGGCATCTTTATATCCTCCTACCCCCATATGCCTCTTTATAATTCTAATGGCCCGCCAGCGCGGAGCTTCTTGCCCCCAGCTTTGTTCTCCTTAGCTTGGATACTACTAGTTTTGTTAGACATAGAATTCCAGTCATCTGGTTAGACAAGATGTTGATTCATCGAGTGCTGAAGTCATCTAGATCCGCCTGTCACGGACGAAAGGGGGAAAATGTAAACAAACGCTCAGGCAACGATCTCTGACGTATCATTTGGCTATTTTATGCGGAGCAGCCCGTCGCAAACTTTCAACCTTGTGCTCGACCTCTCTCATCTCACTGACAACACCCGCTAGTGCTGGAATCGGGCCAGCCACAGCACCAACGAAAGCCTCCTGGGCGTTCCTCAACGGAGGAGGCACCAGAATCCCGAACCAGTGCAGCGGGTTGGACATCTTACTCTTTGTCCTTGCCTCCTTTGTCTCTGTCTCTGTGGGTGTCTGTGCTGCATGGTCCTCGTCCTCACCCTCGCCCTCGTCTTCAGACGGCTTGCCTGTGCCTTCTTTGGCGTCTTTGTCTCTGCTAGAGTCGGGCTTCGTTTCGATAGTCACTGTCTTGAACGCAGGGGCGGGCTCGGCCAGGGACGACGCATGCAACCCGTCTGTGGGAGCGGGCATTGTAATTTCCCTAGTGCCGTCTTGTCAACCTTGATGTCTTCATCAACAAACTGGCTTGTCTCCGAGTCCCAACATACACCTGTCTGGTTGCTTTCATCCGTTCGTCGTAGTAGTCTTCCCCATAGCGCCGGCCGGGAGGACATGCATGGTTCGCTCGAGCAAGAGAGAAAAAGCCCTAACCGGCCAGGTCAGTCGATACACTAGCAGTAATCCCAAGCAAAGAAAAATAGACCCCCTCGTACGCTTGCAAACTGCTTGCCTATGGCTTCCTGGAGCTTCTGCTGCTCGTCCAGCAGATGGAGGTATCGCTCCAGCAGCTCGTCAATCGCCTGGACGACCTCAGCTTCCGAGCGGGCCTCTCGACCGTCTGCCGGAGTCGCGGGTGGTGTCGGCAGCGTCTCTTCCATCGTCCTTCATCCCACCAACAGACCCAATCCCTTCTTTTTCTCCTGTCTATCAGCAGTAATTAATTGACTGAACGTTGTTGTTTCTTCTGCGTCCTCCTCGCTCTTCGACTTCAACCTCAACTTCGAGATCTTACGTAAGCACCAGCCAAAAAGCCCCCAAAGTCGACCAGCTTCAACTTTTTCAACCTTTTGCTCGGCTTCAATCAAAAGGAAGACGTCTCTGGCAGCATCTCGGCTTTTCCAACTGCTCGCCGTCGCCCCGGCCCTGTATATAGCGAATACCAGCTCGCCCTCAGCCAGTCCAGCGACGATACTGCGCCCGCCGCTCGATACCCTCCCCCTTGTCTCTGCCGCTCTCGCCCAGCAACGCCGCGGACCAAGCTTATCTCCGATGCCCGTTTTGACTTCTTCCGTGTCTTCGTAAACGATTCTTCGTTCATGCGGCTCGGCGGGTTCTGCTGCTTCAAAAGATATTGCATCCGATAGCAAGTCGCAGCCAAAGAGGGAACACGTTCGATACTGCTCGCCAGCGCCCATCTTTGCTGTTGCTGTCGCTGCTTTCGCGCCCCCCGGAGCAGCCTTTCGTTGGCCGGGAACTTTTCACCGCAGCAGGCAGACAGATATCAGGCCGCAACCAGGTGTTTCGACATCAAAAAAAGCTCTTATAGACATATATTCAGCATGTCTGTACAGTCAGTGAGCAGCAACTCTGCCTTTCAGGCGCGATCACTCGTATGTTTCCTCCGGTTGTCTCGCTATGCAACTATGTGACTCAGGTGCATATTGCTAACAAGAAGCCTTGAACTATACAGTTCCGGTCTCTCCTCCGTCAAGCAAACCAATTCTCCGCCTACAACTTCCGGGAGTACGCACGAAGACGCACCATCGATGCGTTCAGAGAGCACCAGCATGAGACCGAGGAGCGCAAGATACAAGAGTTGATGCAGAAGGGGTTGGCCAATCTGCAGATGATGAAGGTAGCTAACTACCTCTTTTTGCTGGCATTCATTTTTACCAAAACACCGGAATACTGGCTAATGCGATATGCTTTACAGAGACAAACAGTGATAAGTCAGTTCTACCAGCTCGACAGGCTAGTTGTAGAAGGACAGAAGACGGTACGTTCAAGACTTGGGGTCAATGTCTACCAGTTACAATTGAACTTAACATCCTCTAGGGCAAGGAAACCGGAGATCACGGCAGCATAGTCAGACAGAATGACTCTGGGTAGGTCGTTCTTGATAGCCGGATATCCATACTGCCGTTAGAGCTACTGCTGACTCCCTTCTCCCAGATCAAACTAGGTATCAATAGCTAGGGAAATGGACTAGGACTGTTACGGAGGCTGTTTCAGGGACGGATACTCTCTTTTGCCCACTGGGGGGCCATGTAGAATATAGATTTAATGCTGCGTCTCTGTCCGTTTCTTGCTGTCTTTCTTCTTCCGCCCTTTTTCGGCCCATGAAAATACTGTCTTAGTAAGCTGATGACTAAGCATTTCAACTTCATCGCAAACTTGACGCTGAAAACCGAATTTCCAGCTGCGAATCTCGGTCTTTTGGCAGAAGAATTCACCAGCGCAAGCGACAGAAGCAGGATGGGCCTCGTAAGTGTTCCCGCACCTCTATAAACACACTGCGTTACCGTCCAGTTGTCCCGGTTCCGGCGGTTTGGCGGGTGGCTGGCGGCAAAATCCCTGGCGCGTCAAGCCTGCATCGCGCAATCTGTATTTCATGCGCGCGCAATTCTATTATTCACCATCTAGCAGTGGATTGTTTGCTTGTCTTTATACTGATTATCATATAGAATCGATCATCTCGCCCCCATCGATCGGGCCCAATCGACCGCGATGTCTTCGAGGGACTGCCTGTCCGCCGCTGGGCCCGCCAGCTCACCACCGTCTCGCAGGAGCCGAAGTCGACAGAAGAAGACACAAGCGCAGTAGACTCTCAGAACCTGCCGGAACTGCCAATGCCTAGGGACAGCCACCTCTTGACTCCCGTCAGTCGAGCGCTTCTTCGCGCTGCTAGAGCTGGGTGCACGTACATACGACCTGTCCGCAAGGATCCCGAGCCCGAAGAACTCGAACAAAAGGACGATGATGATACCGTTGTAGAGCCAACGGTTGACGAGCGGACATTTGCAGCTATGAAGTGGACCGCCTTACCTAGGACAGTCGAGCTTCCGGAGGTGGAATTCTTGGCTCCCAGGAGAGCTGGGCTGCCGTCCCTGTACGGAGCTGGAGCCCAGTCAAACGCAGCCACGGCTGGCGGCTCGTCGACCCCAATGCGCAAGACAAAATTCAAGAAGATAGATCCTACAACTGGCGTCATATCAATATACGAAGCTTGGGTACCGGAGGGGTACCAGGTCGAAGGAGAGATCATCCAAGAAGCCCAGGTCATAGCCGAGAACCCAGACGCAAAGGTTGTCAATGTTGAGCCAGCTCCCGGAACTATCGTTGCGGATATCGGTGTGGTGAACCAGGATGGTGTCGTTGTTGCCACCGCCGAAGGCAGTGCAGTTATACCCAAAGCGAACAAGGGGAAGCGGAAACTAAAGGCCGGTAAAGCAAAGAGCAGGAAGAAGGTCATGTTTGCTTCCGGCAATGGGACTGGACAGCCAGAGGCCCCGGGAGCTGAAGGCCCTGCAAATCCCTCTGTTTCAGAAAATGGGGGTGCTACACCTTCTGGAACAGTATCCGTGCCAGAAGACGAGGAGGAAGATGAGGAAGAAGGCGATGAGAGCGACGAGGAGGATGAGACTGCAACTGATTCCAAACCCACCCCAACGACTGATGGCCCTGTTGATGAGAATAACATGACACCGGCTGTTGACGTCCCGTCAGAACCGCAGGACATACCGCAACAACCGCCTACTACTGAGACGGAAGCTGTAGAACCGACGCCTTCAGAACCTCCTCAAACCACCTCAACATTCCCAGAACTGCCTATCATCACAAATTCTACCTCGGAACGGCCCTCGAAGTCGCCCGCTGAGGAACCAAAGGAGCCTACTGCCTCCACTGAACCCTCAAAGGAAGCTGTACATCCCACCGAAGGGCAGCAGGCAGACCCCGAGACCGTTGAGCAACCTAAAACTAGCCCTCCCCCAGTGTCTGCAGCGGAAGATGCAAAGGCTGCGTCCCCCGTAGCGCCTCTCCCGGAAAGCCTTGACGACAAGATGGACACAGCTGAGGATGCAGCACATCATCAACCTACTCCTGAAAAGGCAGCTAGCCCCCCGGCACCAGCCAAGGAAGAGCAAGTTTCACCACCGACTATCCCGCCGAGCACCACTGAAGCAGAATCCAAACCCCAAACTCCTCCTGATGCACACACATCAAATCCACTTCCCGAGACTATACCCGCATCTACACCCACTACAGGCCCTAGTGAACCTGCAGCCGAGGAGCCGGCAGGCCCCAGCTCCCCTCCTCCACCCCCTGAAACAACCGCAGATAGCAAGCCAGAGCCTACATCTAGTGGACCAGTTCGATTCGAAGACGGTGAAGTTGATCTGCTGGGAAGCCTGGAGGCAAGCCTGGGCAAGGATCCAAATACTACAGTGCAAGATAAACCGGAAGATACGTCAGAAACGGCTGCCGCTACTATAGAAAAGAAGGAAGATGATACCGATACCAAGCCTGAAGCATCCGCTGCTAAAGAGGAAGAAAACAAAGAAGATGATAAGGACAAGGACGTTGAGATGACCGGTTAATGTACTCTATTTTGGATTGGCGTCATTTCTTGCTTCTCTCTTAAATTCTTGGTTGGGGTTTGAACTCCTATTGGAGTGATCGTCGTTATCCGTAGAGCACGTTTATTCGTCTAGTGTTCGTTGATATGGCTTTGGTCCGACTGGATTGGCGTTTATTGATTTCATGCAGCGTACTCTACGGAGTGAACATCATATCCCATTTGCGCTCAAAGTTCAATGTTTAGCAGGCCTTTCCAATTGAAGTACCAAGATTGCCCTGGCTTGAATAATAGTACACATGTTGAATTATTTCTAAGATCAATGACGCTCATAAACTAGCTGAAAACGAGCTGTGAGTATGGCAAAAGTTAGCTAAAACAGATCCGCTAATTGACAGCGGTAACAAGAAAATTAGAGAACGCCAAAGCACGCTACAAATCAGTCAATCAATTATCGGGACCTTGCAGATGTTCTACGTCCACCTCTACCATTTAAGACAGTTTGAACAGCCGTCTTTGCGAGCCTAACCCGCGACCTAGATGGCATCCGAAGCTTGGTGCTTGATGCGGCTTGTCTGCTGGTCCTTGAAGAACGGGAAACAGATTTGAATGAGACATCCGCAGCAGCCGTAGTCCTAGCCTTTGCAGACTTATTGAATTGAACGCCCACTCTCTTCTTGGGTACCCTTATCGATTTTGCCTGGGACTTTATGCCTTGGGAGGCTTTAGAAGCCACTCGCTTCAGACCAGACTTGACAGAGGACTGCTTGGTGGTTTTCTGTTTCTTAGAAGCTTGCGAGTTGGTGACTCCCTGTGACTTGCGCTTGGTTCTAGTACTCGCCGGTTTGACGGTAGATTTCTCTTTGGAGTCTTTCCCTTTTGGTCTTGGTCCCAGAACACCACGGCAAGATGGAGTGCCGCAGCGGCATTCTTGGACATTTTTATTGGAGTAGGGGCTTGAATTTCAAGTTAGCTGGGATAATTCTAACAGGAGAGGGGAAGACGATCATACTCAAAGTTGTAGTCATAAGTCAACTCTTCGCCGGTCATGATACCATTATCCCCGGCAAAAAGGGCAATCCTGGGCTTCCCAGCAACAATCCATTTCTCCATCTTGCAATTGGGTTCACACGAGTGGTTAACAAAACGGGCAATTGATCCCCGTGTGGCATCAATGATCATATCTTGGTCAAAGTCCATCAAATAAAAGCACTATTGGCAGGAATTAGCCATATTTCCAAACAGAATACCGGAGTTAGTGAGGGTTAGACAAACCTCATTTTTCTTATATATCGTTTTCATTCGGCGCTGGGCCTCAATCTGAGTGAGTATCTCTCCAGTATACTCAACAATAATCTGATTGGGTTCAAAAGTTCTATTGCTTCGGACACCATATCCGCGGCTTTCTGTCTTTATTACTTCAACTCCAATGTTATATTTACCTCCGGTTTTGATCCGTTTGCGCAGCTCGGAGAAGTTGCGGTTCCTGCAGAGGTCTTCTCCTAATTTGCAGTTATTCTCATCACACTCATAGAACATGTGGCGGTTCTGACAGTTCTCTTCGCACCCCATTTCAGGGGTACAGAGACAAGTGGATTGTTCGGTTGGCATGGTAGCTTTCCAGATACCGGCGGCGTCTCCAATAAATATATCTATTATCCATTAGTTTGGTAGTCGCCATTTAGAGGTAGGTTGCGGTGCTTACTTTTGTTTATCTTGCGCCATTCATCTGGCTTAGGCTGGCCGCGAGGTAAGGGGGAGAATATATCATAGGGCAATCGAAATGGTCTGCCCTTTTCCAGTAATAAGGCTCCAGAGTACTTGGGCATAGGAAATAAGACACGCTCACGAGGGGCCTGTCTGGTCCCCTTTCGCTTGCTTTGGGGCCCTGGTAGTTCGAGTTTAGCAAATGCATTGGGTCCAGCGTAGAGACCATGCGTAAGCCATTTCTTCCTCTTTGGCACCGTCTGGACAGGCGCAGATAAAGGTGGTTGGTCTACTTTCTTTTCTTTCTTCGGAGTAGAGACATCCTCAGACACGCGTCTCTTCTTTGTAGCAGACTCCTCTTGGGTTTCCTTGCGCACCACTGCCCGCGAACGTAGACTGGATCTTCTGTCCTCGACCTTGGACTTGGACTTCGAGTACTCCTTGTCATCTCGTTGTCTTTTGCCCAGAATGGAAGAAACCTGGTTCAAAACCGTCTTGGTTTTCTCCAGAAGTGTCAGTCGACCAGACCGTCTCCTGGGTTGCGCCGGGTCAACCTTTGTTGACGATTGTGGCCTCGATCCAGTTTCTTCCTTTATAGGTTCATCTCCAGTGTTACTCTCGGTATTTTCCAGCTGTATCTCTGCCGTAGTCTCTTCTTCGCAGGGCTCCAATGCTCCCGCCGGTAAACCACGGCGCCCCCTGAGTGAACGTCGTTCAGGTCTTCGGGCCGGTTCACGCTTAACAACAGTTCTCCCCTCAGAAACAGACGCGGATATATCCCCTCTCAACGCATCTCCATGTTTATTCCCGTTATGCTCGGTGTCGTTGTCTATTCCGCCCCTGGTAGATGCTGCTCGAGTTACGCGACGCGTTTGCGGCGGCTTGGTCTGAGAAACGGGCTCTGTAACCGGAACGTCGACATTGCTTGAGGTCTCTGAGACGCTTGTTGCCGGTGTGAGAGTGTGTCCGGTCGAGTCAAGAAGAGTTGAATCGCTGTCTGGCGTTATAGATGTTGATGTTGTTGACTCCCTGGCGACACGCGACATGGCTGCATATAAACGGACGCCGCGCCAAACAGCCACAGAACGAGAGCTTCTAGATCAGTTCGAAAGGTATCTTGTGTGAATAACTGGAACAGAGCAGAGTCGATAGTAAACCACGGTTGTTTCTTGAGGAATAATCGAGTTCTGCGCCGGAAGTGAAGGGCGAAAGGAGCCCTAGAGAAGTTTGATAGGACAAAAGGCGCGACGCGGGTGATGGAAAGCCTTTTTTTCAGGGACCAGGGGAGAGAGTAAACAATACACGGAGTGAGAGATGCGGCTGGGGCCAGCTCGGATTATAAACAGTAGCGGACTCTCAAGGGGACGCAGCTATATAGTCGCAGTGCATGATCCAATTCTTTGCTTATAAGTATAGGGCGGAGACGTGTTATGTCCAAGTTTGGCGGTTTCAGCAAGAAAAGAAATGCGCCACTGGTGAATTTTATATTGAAGTCAATGCTTACTGGGAAAAGGGGGTTGAGACTCAGGACAGGAAGGATTAGGAGTTAGACATTAGATATTCGAATTCTAGCTTAATTCTCTTATGATAAACATGTCACAACTTTTGTCCGTAGCAGGTGGGATTCTGTAAGACATTGTTGGATCAAGGACGCTGCCAGAGTCGTCCCAGAGACAGGACGGGTACAGGTCTATCTAGCAAAAAGACAAGCAAACAGACAGCAAACGCAGAATGGCGCGAATACAGCCCGCAAAGAAAGGAAATTCCCACAGTCAAAATGAGCATAAGGGGGGGGTATTAGAAACATAAATCAGTCAGGAGATAGATCATATGGTAGGGCCAAAATATACACAAGAAGCAGAGGCTGGAGGAGGAGACCGAGCGAAATGAAATCCATGAAAGGGTGCTGAGAACAGGGCTGACAGTAGAATACACACTTGGACACTGGTTTCGGGGTATCGGAAGTAATTTGGGCATTACGCCCATTTTGCTCGCTTAGGAGGGTGGCGGTGCTGCTCCGTTGGTCGGGTGTCCATTGCTGACCTGCTGCATCTCAAGGCCGCCATTCTGTGCCTCGATGTCGTTTCGTCGCTTGTTCACCTTGAAAGTTGCAAATCGCTGGTCACCTTCGACATGAGAGTTCTTAAACTGGAGGTAAGTGGGAGTTCGAGGCTTCCCAAGGACAGCAACCAGGTTCCTGAAAGCACCTCCTTGGGTGAAGGGGCGGTGTCTGTCTTCCTTCTTAAACTTGCGGGAGTTCAAGTACTCTCGTGTTGTCTCACTTCGGCTCATCAGGAAGATATGGTAGACTGCTAGAGCGGCAGGATACGTGGCTGCAAGGCCACCATATACAACCATGGCAAAAGGAAGACGCCACTTATCGATGGCTTCGCCAAAAGTGACACCTTCCATCTTCATGTAGCCAAGGACATGAGCAAGACTAGCAGAAAAGAGGAAGAGAGCGAGTATAGTGCATGTAGCAACGAAGGAGAAGAAATAACGGTAATTTCGGCGTCCAACACAATTGTTGAGCCAGACACAGTGATGGTCCAGGGTTTCAACGCAGTTGTTGCATACTCGGCAGTGATAGCAACGCGGTGGACGCCAGATGCTGCAGGTCTTGCAGTACTTTACTGGCACATCCATGGCAGCAACTTCGGAAGTAGCTAGTTTGATCATAACCCAGTCACTTGTAGGAGGGCCAAGGGCTAGAGGATCAGCATCGGGGTCAGATGGGGGTATAATATGAAGATTTCGGGGAAGAATCTATCAATTGGCCGTCAGTTAGGAATGTAAATAGTAATGGGACAAGAGGCAGAATATCACTCACTCCAGGATCAACTAAGGAAGCATGAAGGAAAGACGAGACGCAAAGGTAAAAGAGGTATCCAAAGACAATAGGTATTGCTTTTGACATGTTAGTCCACAGCCAAGGTGCCCTAGAGAGAGATGTTAGCAGGGTCAATTTCTGAGTATCCAGGGGTAGTGTGGAACTCACGAGGAAGCAAAAAAGAGAATTGTAGGTAGGACGATCAAGAATCCAGTAACAACGTTGATCGGTCTATCACGGGTATTCTGGAACCTGCCACCACCGAAAAATGCTGTGTTCCCAGTAAAATATTGATAGTTCTTCCCCCTTTCCACAGCCGGTTCCACCTCAACCTTTTCAGGCTCAGGCTCAGGGATAGACGTTGCATTAGAGGCGAGTCTTGTGTGACTCCTCTGGTCACAACGGCGAATGGTAGCCTCAGATGCATTCCCACCTAGAAGTCCTGATGGAAATGAGATAGGTGACTTGGAAGGCGGCTCGTGTGACGCAGTTGGGTTGGTATAGTTCTCCCCCAAGTTCACCTGGACTGGAGTAGATGATCTCTGAGATCTATCCTGTAGCAACCTGACGTTGTCTCCCAGGCTGCGAATCGTCGTATGTCCTGAGGGACTGGTGTTGGTCGTCAGCCTGTCAGGCAGTACTGGATCTGTAAACTCCGTCCCTCTTGTTGGTGGCCGGATATCATTATCTAGATGTGCCGTCGTGTTTGATACCATACTCCTGCGCGCCTGGCTGGCCACATCACTCTGGTTGTCTTCAAATCCAGTTGCAGTAGTTGCCGTCGTTGTAGGTCTCCCACCACGCTGTGCCTGTAGTCTCTGCGAGCTCATGGGTCGGAAGAAGGCCTGAGAGGTAAGAGAGGAGACGTGGGTTTTGCTCATCTTGCTCTGCGCGCTGGGCGGCCGGGCACCCAGAACAGGGCTCCGCGTGGGTGGAGGCCCTCGATGAGACGACGTCGGGCCAGACTGTGACCATGACGCCGAATGCTGAGTCCGCTGCCCGTCTTCAGATACGGGTCCGATGATTGGGGAAGGTATGTTGACTGCAGATTGAGCAGCATTCTGGGGTGCAGAACCCGGGGCACGGGAGCTCGAATCTTCGGGATTCGTTTCAGATGGAGTCATTGTCGCGATTGATCCGTGCTATTTTATCCAGAATCAATAGTATCAATGCATTATCGCGTCGATATATTAATATATATAGCAGGTTTCAAGCTCCCATCTATTTGTTTGTTGACTGGGGAAGAAAGGCTGGAGCTTTTTTGGTGTCGAGCAGGCGGTCAGGGCAGGAACCAGATGAAGCAGCGGTCCAGAGTCACAGCAGGGCGTCTGACACGGCCGGAGTCAGTCTCGTCTTCGCTTCCTCTTCGTCCTCTCTCCGTCGTCGTCTCGCTGTCTCGCTCGTTTGTTGTCGTCAAACCGTCGACTCTCCTTCGCTCTCTTTTTTATTTTTTGGTTTCTCCTTTAATTTTAAGACGCATCATGTGATCTTTGATGACTCATCTTCCACGTGACCGACTAAAACAAACCGTCGGAAGCGGAAAAGAACAACCAAAAAGTCGAAGTTCTTGAACGACATCGAGATATATCAAAAGACGCCAGCCCGCCGAAGACGACTGAGACTCGCCCAGATCAAGGCAATTGACAGCAGCATTGGTCAAGTTTCGCCTCACAATGTCCTCTCTCTCCGCCATCATGGCCCGCCGGGCCTTCCTGCGCCAGCAGCCTGTCCGAAGACTCGTCACGCCACAGCCAATCCGACGACATGCCTCCTCCAAGGCCGCTGAGGCCGGCCTCGACAAGGGCGCCAAAAGGGATCCCGAGCTCTATGTACGTCGACAAGCGTGTGTGGACTGCAATTGATGTTGTCCTTGCCCTGAACTCCCTTTTTATGCGATATATGAAGCTGATCGGTGGTGATGTTGCACGAAATTATTAGGTCCTTCTCACTGTTATGGCCGGTGCTTTTGGAATTGTCGGCTGGTACCTAGGCAGCTCTCCTACTAGCGTTAGCTCTGAGAGCAACGTCCGTGTTGGCGAGAGCGGCGCTATGCCATGGGAGACCGACGAGAAGGATTCCGAGAGCAAGGGCAACTTCAAGTACAGGTACCACCCTCACGGAGACAAGAGCAAGCCCCTCAAGGAGGCCCCCAGTGCTTTGAACGAGGTCATCATTCCAAACGTGACTCTTCCAGCTGTATGTGCATGGTCATACCCCGCTGTACGATACTTGTTTTAATACTGACTTATCGGATAGGACCTCCACGAACGATTCAACAAGTATGGAAAGGATCTCTAAATCAAATTCCAGGCTCTGTGCCTATACCGTCAAGGGTGGATTTGATAACATGCTAGGAATTAACCGCAGCATCGAGACTCCTGTACATATTCCTACAATTGTAACATCTTGTCTCCTTTACTACCTCCCTCTTGTCGCTGCTGCCCAAGCAGCATCATCACATCATTCCTTGTATCAACTCCTGGCCTTTCCTTGATATGTTTGGTTAGTCTCTCACAATTACCCTCTAGATCTCAATTGTGTAAAATCCAGTTTAATTCAATCATTGGTTTCATATGTTCATCACTGCAACGGGGTATATACTATATCGTACGACATTAGTAACTAGCTTACTGTGGGCCAATTGAGGCAATGATATTACCAATAATATTTCCAGTTCTTAAGGGTAAACGGCTAGATCCTTGGGGACAACTCCACAGTATTGACATCCAGAGTTGGCATTCTAGTTATTTATTCTAATTCTCTTTTTTTGGCGAAGCAATGAACTAAATAACACCTGAAAGACATAATCTTCGCAACAAGCAGGCCATAACGGGATAACAATTAATATAATACAGGAAAAAGACACTGAACAAGAATGAAAACCCATTAGATATCGTAGAGAGTCAATTAGTTTGTAGCAGCCTTAGCCTCGCTGGCGGGCTTTGGCTTATTTTCTTTCTTTTTGGGGGACTCGTTCTCTCCCTTGACCTCAGCTGGCTTGTTAGCTGGAGCCTTTGGTTCGTCCTTAGCAACGGTTTCTGGGTTAGCGCCCTGCACGTCTGGGTGTTCAGGGGCGATAATAGCTTCCTTGGGGAGTTCTCGGCCTTCGGTATCGATTAGTCTAGTGCGAGTCTCATATCGGGTTTCAAAGGAGATTTCTCCCTGTTCCTGGAGGACTTTGACTTGTTCCTCGCTGAGGATGTTGCCCTCTGAATC